GTCATTCAAAGAGTTTTGTATATATCATGAATTCTGGAACCTGAGATACGTTTCTGTGTCATTGTAAATGAGTGTTTTACATTTTTTTTCTTAAGATCCAAACATATTCTCACTAAACCATAATAGCTAAATGTCTGTGTTTCTTTCACAGGTATGCTGTTCTGCTCTTCCTAAGGAAAACTAAAGCAAAACTCATCATCAAATTTGTTAATGACCTGTACACATCAAAAGTCGTCAGTGTTTTTGACAAATGAAAAAATTAGCATATTTATTCAAATAACATCCATGTTGCTCCTCTATTCTGTTACCATTCTATTTCTATATGAGCAGTCATGCTTTGATTTCCAAATGTAGCCTGGTAGGAATTTCACAGGAAAGCATTGCAAACAATTTATGAAATCACTGGGGTTTTTTATTGGCTGTGATTCCATTTTAAAAGAACATCATACCATTTACCCACATCATGCAGGAAAATATACCAGGAAAATAACAAATTAAAATCACATTCACAATGTCTCTAAATCATCCTTAAATACTGCATGCATCTGAAAGAAAGCTGGGGAGCATTTCTACTAGAAAATGCATGACTAAGTTAAAGTTTGCTCTGTGTGTGTGAAAGAGAAAGAGAGAACAGGCAATTTTTTTAATGACAGTACTGAAACATTTTACTAACTCAGTGCATGAAGAAACAGTTATCTTGATAACATATATTCAGAACAAATACAGACAACTTTCAGATACAGAAGACATTACATTTAGATCACAACAGCTAATTTCTAACAATGCTTTTTCTAGCACAAAAAGCTTGGCAAAAAGATGTATTCAGCAGCACTAGTATGGTCTTTCTTGATGAAGGAAAGAGGCTGGGAGGGATCTAAGCCAATGTATGATACTAGAAACATAGACAGAGGAACTCCAAAGTGATTAAGCACATGATCTTATATTTTGTTTTATTAATTTTAAACACAAGAGTAGCATTGATAATTAATATTGCAGTCTGATTTCATATGGCTTTCTCTACATATAAATGTGAGTTCACAAGGTTCAATGGCAAACTAAATCATTTACCCTCCAAATGAGAAGGCCCTTTGACTTTTTTTTACTAACCAGTAAGGTCTTGGAGCTGTGAGGGAAAATGACTGCAGTGTCTAGCCAACAACCTTTCTGTGTAAATAAAAACTAGTTATAAAACTAAAATACCTCATTTACCTGAGATTGAACAGACCAGTGATGCAAATAAAACAATGTAATGAAAGACAAAAATATATTCAGAATCCAAACAATGAACCATGCTTCTCTTTGGTCTCTTGTTTAAGTGCTTCATCACCTGCTTGAGTGCCAAGGGGAAAAGTGTGTGAGACAATGCTTCTGACTTCCACATGAGTCCAAGAGTCTGTGTCCCTTTTTACCAGTTCTGAGTGGGAAGGGAAATAGATGGGCAGAAGAGAAGGGAGAGTGCCTTGCTCTCGAGTCTATTCAGCATGGCTTAGGCACTTCGGGACCGTGGAATGACTTGAGGAGAGGTCCACTCTCATGCAACATGGCAAAAGTTAAGCGAGGCAGAACCAAGTAAAAACTGTCCAGTACCTGTGGTAGATCTTCTGTCATGTTTCTTGTGGCAAGAAAAGGAAAATGGCAACTACCAGCTCACACCTGGACAAACTCTCTGTTGTCAGTAGAGGAAGGGCTGCTGCAGGTGTGGCCAGTTGAGATACTGAAGTGATGAAATGGCTGAGCTGGAAAGCTCCCACAATGAAAAAGATTCAGTAAACACTATTTAATAAACCACCTTTCCTTTCCCTTCTGCTTTGTGAGCCTGGAATGAGGCCTACCACAATCAGTATAATGATCCTATGGCCCTCTTCAGGGATTCAATCCAGATGTTCACTCAGCTCAGGAGGTCAGCTCACAAGGGCAGTATTTTGTGTATTCAGAGCCCAGGGATAGCACTACCTGCTTAAGAAATTTGAGTACAGTCTATACAAGGTCCTGACTTAGACCACTCAGACCACAGCTGCTGAGGCACAATTATCTAAAACGGTACCAGTCTTCCTTTCTCTGTCTTCTCCGATTTCCTCACCTTCCACAGATGTGTGCACAAACATGCACATCAAGCTGCCAGAAAACAATTGAAAACAATCAACACTAACATTCTGTAAGGAGAATGCTAGGCAGAAAATTCTGATCCTAAATCAGGAACAGTATTTGGTTGGATGAGGAAGGGAATCAGTAATGACGATTAGCTACCAAGTGGTAGAGAAAAGCCAAAGTAAAGCAGAATAAGCTTATCTTCTCATTTGTTTGTTTGTTTGCAGAGTTCTCTAGCACAAAGCCAGGGAAATACATGAATGGATGTGTTCATTTTAGCATAGGCACATTTCTGCTGGTTCTACTTAGGTATTAGAGGATGTGTGCCACAGAGATTAATCAAGGCATTTCAAAAGTATCGATGTCTGCATGTCAGTGATCTAGGTAAGGAGATCTAGTGACCAATGAGTGGCTGAAGCAAAGAGCCAGGCTTTGGCTTTTAGCTTTCAGGGGTATTGGGTACTCTGTGGCAGAGCATCAAAACGAGCCACTGCCCTTGTGACAGAAAGAGAGTTTCCAATTCTGTGAGATTTACTCAAACAGCCTCAAATTACTAGTTGCTGAATTTGCATGGGGTGAGTAGGACACTCTTCCTAGAAAATGGTAAATTGTTTGACACTACCATGCTGTACCCAAGCACTGATTCATATTGTTCTGGGTCATTAAAAGTCACAAGAGGGAAGCAGTCATCTTACTTTAAATGAAAGTTCGGGGGAAAAAAGTCCCACTGACATTATCCAGATGAGTGAAACTTGCCTTCTCTTTCCTCTGGTTAGCCTTTGGCAGCTTGTACTTGAACAAAAAAGTCTTGTTCATAGATCCAGACTGAAACAAGTTGCATCTTTATTAATTCGTTCTGACTTGTATATCAGTCAAAACTCTTCAGCCTCTGCCATGGATTCAACAGAAAGTTATGTTTGAAATTATTTGAGACGAAGCAAGGACTATAACATCTGAATAAAAATTGTGCGTGGAGGGCATACTATATTTATTCCCTTTCAAAACACTCTTTTCCTATTACAATAGATGGTACTGGAAGGTACAAATCTCTCATGCACAATTCCTTAACGATGGTACAGATTTCTTCTGCTTACCTGAAAAAAGGATAAATGTGGTAGATATTGGTTCTGCTTACCTGGAAAGGTGATAAAAGTCTTCTAAAAGATCTTATTCTGGAAAATATTGAGATTTTTGCCTAAACTCAGTTACACTAAAACAGTGTAAAGAAGATACATTGAAGTAAAATGCTTAATTTAGGTGCATAATGGAATGTCTGATATTATCCTCCTTTTCGTTGCCAGCAGAAAGAGTGTATTTGCTTTCAAATTTTGCCCAGGTACTTAGGAAATTTTTGTTGTTCCCAGGACAGGAACAAGCAATGCTAGTTCAGCCATCACCCTGATTCTCCTGACAAGATTGTGAGACTGAGATGGCATGACACTCGCAACATCGACTAAAGAGACCTAGCCAGATGCAAAATTTCAGGATTAGCTCTTCAGATGATAAGCCAGATACCTGATCATGAGGACCTGTATTCAAAATACATCTATCTATGTATTGAATCTATGTAGGTATTAGCAAGCCAACATCTCCCATAGAATTTGGATTATGCAGTTATGTGATATCTATAGTGTTTCATTGAGGAGACCTCTGTACCTGTGTTTGCAAAAGGCCACAAAAACAATAGTGAGAAAAAATCTTCTCCCACCCTGTTAGCATCAAGGGATACCACACACTTCTGTAATATTAATTAGCTCCTGCACGGTACTAGAGAAGCACCCTCACTTTTTGCCTTTATTTAGGAAGAGTCTGAAACCTACATTTTACTGGTGCAGTGGGGCAGAAAATAAGTGACCTCCCCAAGGCAATGCAGTAATTTAGCACAATAAACATCATGGATATTTATGGATCTGCCATGACAAACATTCAGGCCACCACACACTCCCACACACTGCAGGAAAGGGTGGGCAGGACACAGCCATGACAATATGCTGGAACCCAACCCGCAAGCATTGCTGGAAATGGGATGGTTGAATATGGCAGAAAGAGGAAGATTGGTTAAACAGAGCAGAAAATACACTTGTCATTGGCTTCAGAGGAGTTGAGGGCAGTCCTCTACCAGAGCACTGTGCACTCTTCTATGGTTTCAGCTCTCTGTGTGGCAAGTGCCTGACCAATTTGTTCATTCAAGGTAAATGTATGGCTAATTCCCAAAGTAACATGACTCTTGCTTAGATTCTGAGGCATTTAACTTTTACAGCATCTGAGGGCAGATGACTCACTTCTTCCAAAATTCTGAATGATGTCAGCTGTGTAAGTCATGCATGATTTACTTTCTGAACGATCTTTTATTTATGTCACGGATGGAATTAAAACAGAAAAGCTCTGCTTCTGTGGGAGAGCTGAGATATCCCTTCTGAGAGCAAAAAATGGCTAATGTGACCCAATCAATAGGAACATTATAATAATGAGTAATTATGATCAATTAAAAAAAAAGATAATACAAAAAAATTAAAGAGGCCACTGTTCATACTTAGTGAACACTCCTTCTTGCATTGGATGGAAATGAGATTGTTTCTTTTCTATGCTTGATGTGCAGTTGCCTTATTTAACATACATAGTACTATGGCTTATAATAAAAGTTGTGTAGTCTGCAGCTTTTTAATCTTTACATCCATTCAGAGGCATCTACTGGATGTGACTATGTACAAAATTAAGGAATGGATGAGTCTTGGGGCGGAGGAAAGGGGAAGAGGCTGTTGGAAGGGAATGGGAAGCAAAGGGACTCCTAGTGAGCAGAGAGGGCAGAGGTGGGGAGGACTGCAGGATGAATGGCAAGATTGTAAATCCCCATTGGGCAAAAGAGAAATCCTTTGCAGTACTGTTTATGCCCATCTAACAGTCTGCAGCTATTACTTCTTGAACATGTCCTGCAGGGGCCCTGGTAAGTATTTGATGACTGTGTCTAGGATGCTCTCTTCTTCTTCCTCCTCCTCATCCCCACAGCCAGGAGGGATCGCCTTCTTTGGGCGTGTCAGACTCCCTTCAGCATTAGCTTCCAGTGCAGCCTGGGCCTCTGCTTCCTTTTCTTCCTTCTTCTTTATCCCATACTGCAGGAGAGAGATAACACATTGTCTGAATACGAGAAATAACATGTCTGCTGACAGGATGGCTGATGCAGCAGCCATTGCATGTGGTACCTGTAAGAACATCACATATTCTCATTTTGCTCTTTTACATGGCACTAAAAGTACCCATATTAACAACCCACCATTAAGTCTAGCCCAGTGGATGGGTAGCCTTTGCAAGACAAGATGCTGAGGTCACTCAGAAGCAAGCACAGGGGAGAAACTGGGACTATGCAGCCACAGGTCTCTAGTAAAGGGAATATAAGCTCTGTGTTAGTAAAGTGTTAGAGTGGCATTCTACTGATGTTGATCCTCCTCTTTTCTGTTAACAAGTAGAATGCTCAGGTCCATCATCAACAATGATTTTGAAAGTCCATCAGCAGCATTTTATGGCTTATGGCAAAACTTCAGGGAAAAATTAGTTATCAACAAAAGAAAGCAAACAGGTCAGGACAGACAGGACAGCAGTGAAGACAACAGTCTTAGATATTCTCACGTGGGACATATCCTATACCATTCATCCACGTTCTCTTTGTATAAGTGGGACAGAAACACCTCTCTGAAAATAAACCATCATGAGAAAATCAGCTGACTCATACTATTTGAAGAGAAACACTCTGAACCCTGCGAGTAGAATGTGTACTTGAAATCTGCTGCTTCCACAAAGAATTAGCAGCATGCCACTAAAACATTACATGAGTAACCAGAATCTTGTTTTATGATATTACATTCAAGAGGCTAGATTTAATACAGGACTAAACATATGCATATGTTGCTCTTTCCTTAAGTGCTTGCACTGCTTCAGAAATTAAGGTGATTCACAATTAAAAAGAAAAAATCATCTCAAACTGTCACATGCATAGCTGCAGCAAGAATTATATTTGCAAGCTATCCTCTGTATTATTGAATCATAGAATGGGTTGGGCTGGAAGGTGCATTTCAAGGCCATCTAGTGCAAGCAGTGAGTAGGAACATTTTCAGCTAGGTCAGGTTGTTCAGAGACCTGCCCTGTTTATCCAGATCAATTCAAATTTCCCAGACTGCCTCCACTTTTTCTGATGATAAATGGAGGTTAAACTTTCTTGGCAGTGTGATCATGATGCAAACTCAGGAAGTGTCCCATTTCTCGGTGCCCAGCTGTGCTTCAAAGAGGCCAGCTGTACATTTCAAGAATGCTTGTGGTCCCCAGGCTCACAGCTCCCCGTCTGGCAGTAATATTCTTTTGCTTATCCTTTTTACCTTTTAAAAAGCCACCTTCATGGCTGCTCACTATCAGCTTCTCAGCCACCAGTCACCTCACAAGCACCTGCACAATTCATTAATACACTTCAAATAGAAAATAAAAGAACATTGAAAAGAAAATTAAATATGATTTCAAAAACATCAAAGAATTAAGTTGGTACCACATACTCCGTATTTAAGTACCAAAAAAACCTTTCTGCTGAATAGACATTAATTAGATGCTATTTTCGTTTTCTTTCTTTTCATTTTTTCTACTTCTGAGGTAAGTACAAATTGTTAACCAGTAAAACCAAAAATGCAAAGCCACTTTCATGACTTTCAGATTTCAGAGGGCTGTTGAGTGTGACTTTTCCTCCTAGACATTTTTGAGCAAAGGCATTATTTTTTATTATTTTCTCCATCATCATTTATACTTAAGATGACAGCCCTCAAAGTTGAAAGCAGTGGCTTCGAAACACTCTAGTTGTCTAAATCATTTCTCTCATGCCAAAATGTTCATTAAGGACATTTGTCTTACAATTTTTATACCTACTGGGTGCTGGTCACACCTGATTTCATGGGAAAGATACTAAAGACAAATGATATCTCCATTCACATGTGAGATACAGAAACAATTTGACCAACTTGTAGTTACAGGGCTGTACACCACAAAGGAGATTCAACACAGGACCAGCTACCATGCAGTTGGAGTGACATGCAATGCTAGACTGTAGTCAGTCTGCACAGCTGTATTAACTCCATTCTTCCTCTCAGGCAAGAGGTAGATATTTCTAAATGATTCCCAGTGTAATTTATATGCAAAGTGTGCCTCCCTTTGCCAGCTAGAGGAGAACAGTAGTGGAGACAACATAAATCATAGTAACACATGGGTACTCTGTGTGTTTTCAAATCCTCCATCTCAAAACAAGAATTAGCTCAAGATGTGTTGATCCTCCAGCACAGGAACTAGCTGAATAAACATCCAGCTCACAGGAAAGAGTGGAACAAAACCAACCAGTTATGAGAATTCAGTGATATCATTTACATTTGATGGTATTTTGCAATGCTTTGCATTAACAGAAGTGTAAGCTGTGAAGATTCATAGGTGAATACAATGGCATACTTCAGGTTTTAAATTGTTTCAGAGGAAATAAAACTATAGAAAGGAAAGTCTTACTACAAGCAAAATTTTTAAATAGAATCTTCATGTGAAATAATTTGGGCAAAGTCAACAAATTATTTTTAAAAATATGACTAAAAATAATCTTCCTGGTGCTCTGGTTTTCCTGAGGATGTGAAATATTTCATTACTTCCAAAAAATCTGAAGGATGAGAATAGTTTCATTCTAGGTTCAACCCCACAAAATTTAATATCAGAAGTTGTATCATTACCTGCTTGGCCTTCAGTCATATATTCATGTCTTCTACTATACGCAGAATTATGGAATTAACCTAGAAAGATACTGAAACATTTTTAGCATGTATACCCTCTTGCCACTTCCAGAGTTTTTACTCTGCAGCCACACGGGGATTGTTGTCACTGGGTCATGTTAGAGAAATACTGACAGCCTGTAGTCCTCAGTCATCAGGTGGGAAGAGTAGGGAAAAAATACCCTTGGCTTAACCCACACTCACTGGCTGCATGTCAGGAAAAGATCAGACTAACATGCTAACATATAACATCGACTTCCTCCCCATCTCTTTTCTTCTCTATTCCAGTTTTACACAAAGGAAAATAGGTGCATGGACTAGAAACAACTGGAAATTTAACCTAGTAACAATAAGAGTGTCAGGGACTAGAGAGAGGACTGCTAAGCCAATGGGATCTGCAGCCAAAAATGTGAACCTACCATATAGTTACAATTTCTTATGACAAGCCAACAGCTGCTACTAAAAATGAACATGTTTATCTAGCAAATATCTAGGCCATGGAATGAATAAACAGTAATATGATAGTTAAGACGCAGAAGTAATGGCATATCTTTGGGTCAGGAGTGGAAGACAGCTGCAATCAACATGCAGGGGAGTGGTTTTCCTTGGATCAGATTTGGAACTGTCTACTTGGAAACAAGTGATTTATCTGAATAAAAACTAAAGAACTAAAAAATGTAAGTTTGTAGGGGATACAAAGACAACTCAAAGACTATACGGTGGGACCAGAGAAGTCAGGAAACAACTCTTCCTCCCAGGATGCTCTGAGAGCTTGAAACTGGACCTCAGTCCAAATATTACTGCATATGAGATAATACTGCATGAAAAAATACTGCATATCACAAAACACTAAGCTTTATCTTCTGGGAAAAGACTGGCATGTGAATTATAGTGGTTACATCTCTCTTCAAGGAATTTTACTTTGCAGTGGTTTTGCATAGCTGTTAATGTATAAGCAGCTGCAGCAGATACAACCATCTTTGGAATTACTATTTTATTTACTAGCTAAGGTTTGAAAAACTACTAAGAGATTTAAATGCTTATTCCTTATCTTGCTTCCTAGAAAAGTTATGGGAGTCTATACTAACACCTCTGTTAAATTTTATTCATATTCTGAACCTCAATACAAAAAAGAAAAAAAAGTTAAGCCAGACTTGAAAGTATATCGTTAGAAAAGACACTGGAAGGGCAACATGCACATCAATTTATCTCAAGAATGAACTTGACCTGAATAAGTCTTTTTCTTGGAGACTTCAACTACTGAAAACCTCTCACCTGTTCTGGAACTTAACTATCCTATGCAATTAAAATATTTCTTCTCATGTCTAATGTAATTTGTCATGAAATGCCTTAAAAAAAATCTGGAAAATAAGCAGCAACTGCAGAAAGGTTTATCTTTCATCTGGCCTTTTGGCCATTATTTATCAATTGTGCAAAGTTCTTATTTTTCTCTTTCACTACCAAAGAGAACATCAGCCCAATTTAGATCTATCCATCTTTAATGCATGGAATTTTTTGCCAGGAATATATGTACGACTGACATAGAGAGCAATAGGTAGAGTTCAGCACTGACCTTTAGTTCCACAACTGTGAGAGTCTTGGGTACAGAAAAAGACTCCCCTTTTATTTGATTTGTACAAACTTGGAAGTCTTTCTACATGATTTCTTTGGTCTCCCTGTGAGTGAACAAGCTGTCAAACACAGGAGGTGAGGTGCTGAAACCCAGAGCCCCAAGTACACTGTTCTCACCACTGTTTAAAGCTCAGAGCCCACTTTGAGGTAAATCTGCCCAAAAATGTGCCCTGAATTTTCTTTCATCTCAAATCTGCTGATTTTATTTTGTGTTAAATGTGGCTGTCTTTGCTTGTTTGTTTTTGTCGGTCTACTTGTCTTTCAAATCAGTTCATTTATCGTGAGCTTGATAGAGAGGATCCCCCAGAAAACTTGTGGGGGAACCTTTTAATACATATTTCTTTGTCTCTCAAGTAACCCATTTAAATGCAAGGTCTGCCATGCAGGGTTAGAATTACACAGACTGTTTTAGGCAACTCAGAAACACCAACCCCAGGTAATCTCTGTCTAAGGAGTAATGAACAAAGAATCATTACCTGCCACATGAGCAATCAGGCAAATTTCAAGCTGTGGCAAGGAATGAAAGGTATGAGAGATCATGCTGGGTGTCTCAGTCCATGACACACCAGCAGGGTGTGTGGGGGGAGTGCATGGAGGCTCTGTGTGGAGTGAATGTAGGTGTGGGAATTTTCTTATCTCTACATGCTGCTGCACAACTCTGCTGACGCTGTCAATATGTTAGTGGAAGACAGCTGATT